ACAGTAAGATCAGTTCGAAACCACCAACCACTCCCAGGTGGAACGATGAGGCTTTCCACTCCCGTGAAGAGTTACAGTCTTGGAAACCCACGGGCCGTTCTACCTGCTCCTGTAGGGTCACTCTCAGCTGGAGTCCACTCGATGGCAGGGAGTTTGAGTTTTTGAGTGAATTCAGCTCACTCTTAGTATGCTACGGTTCAGCTAAGGTGCTGCTTTTACTTTGAGGCGCCTAGCCCTGCCGTCTCCCTGGTCCACATAACCTTCCATGGTTGACAGTAGATGCTTCCTGTTCAGAGCCTTCTAGTACCTTGTGCCCCCTGGATCACACTATATTGTCATCATGTGCTCCCCTGTCTGTCTGTCCCTGGCAGTTGTAGCTCCTTGAGAGCATGGACTGCATTTTCCCATCTTGTTCACTCGCACCTGGTGTCGAGTTCAATGTCAATCAACATTCCCTCAGTGACTGTGAGGAGCCCTGGTGCTGTAGTGGTTAATGTGCGGGGCTTAAAACAGGAGGTCAGCAGGTTGAATCCAGCAGCCACGCTTAGGGAGAGCGCTGAGTCTCTCCACTCTGGTGGAGAGTCAGTCTCGGGGGACGCACGGGGAAAGTCCCCCTGTCCTGTCGGTGGCAGTGAGGCAGAAGTGACGCAGTGGGGCTGTGTTTGCTGTGAGGAATGAGTGAGCTACTGGTTCTGGTTTTCTGTTCCTCTTTCAGAAACTTCTGGTTGTGGATCAGCCCATAATTCCAGATTGAATGGTTGCTTTGTCAGTAGTCATGTATAAATTACTTTAGATAACTGAGGAATTATTATCGGACCATAAGTACACATTTACTGTTTTTCAGCATTTTACTATTTCTTGCTATCTGAACTAGTAACCTTATCATGAAGTATGTTGCTAGTATATTTTTCTTATGACTCACAATAATCATACTACAATTCTGTAGTATGCTATTCTATAGAACCGGTTTTAATTTGATGATTAACTTGCTTTCCTATTATGATTTCTCTGATACGGTCAAGATAGAATGTAGAAAAAATAGATTTCTCTCAGAATTATTAGTTCTTGCTAATCGTGTGTGTTTACGGATATATTTTGTTGTAATTGAACTGCATTTCCGACTTTAACATAAGTATGGGGGGGCTTCAAAAAGTTGGTGGGAAAATCCTATTTTTGTCACTTAACTCGATGTTTCTAGGAACTTTTTGAAGCCCCTTTGTATTTGAATTATTTTCAAGGATTTCAATAGTAAATAAATTCTATTTGTTTTTACAGATGCTGAAAGTGAAATAGTGAGACTGAGAAGTTTAAACCAGGTAAAACATGTTAAAGGTGGAAGGAAGCTTTTGCATTCATTTACTTAAAAAATAATAAAGTTATAATCATCACAGTTGCTGATTTGGTTTGCTGATTGTTTTATGTTTATGTGAACTTGCCTAGGCTTTTCAGCCCAGTAATTTTATAGAAGCTAATTGCAAACCTCCTCACTGTATAATATATATCAGCACAATTAGGAACATTTGTGTAATTGGAAAAGGAAGGTATTTGACTTGTATGGTTTTTTTCCCTAATGAGTACTGATTATTTTATAAGTGTATTTTTTAGTTTTTCAAAGATAATAAGTCCTAGGCTCTGTGGAATGAGTTGATGGGTCATAGGTGGCCTGTCTTATGATGTTGACTAGATCTCTAAAAAGCCTTAAGAGGAACTGCGCGCTCGTCGGGGATGGATGACCTTGCTTCTTGGTAAACGGTTCCACATTTTCCTAGGACACCAGCCCCACAGAAGACCATGTGGCACTTCAGAAGCATGTCCAAGCTTTGCAGAAGGAGAATTCATTCTTGAGTCAAGAAAAGGTGGGTGCTGGGGTGGAGGGTGGGGGTGGGCAGAACGAAAACAGTGTGCCTATTGCAGCTCCCAGCCGAGGACCAAGGCCAGGCCTTATCGAGGAGGTGTGGAGGGTCCTGCGGAGAACGCTGGTCTCCCTGGGGCTTGTTCATCTGGGCCAAAGAACCCGGGCAAGGTTCAGAGACTGAGAGGCTGGCCAGAGCTGACATTTAGAGACAGACAGGAACAGCGACACGGAAGGCCCTGTTTTGGTTTCAGGTGAGGGCCTGGCAGCAGCCACGGGCGCAGGTGGGTTGGAAGGCCCGGAGCGGAGCTGCTTCTGCTGCTCATTGGCACCAGGATTTGTGTGCTTGCTGTGGGAGACAGGATTTCTTCTTAGTGGTGGTAGGGAGAGAAACGTGGGCTAGAAACATGAGTCTTGTGTGTGGTTGCTAGCAAAGATGAGCTGCAGTGCTACAGTACAGTGCTATGGGGAGAGGAGTAGTCTGCATTGGTACCACAGTGGCAGCTGGGGCTGTGATTCCATGGCCAAGGCAGGTGCTTAACTAGACAGTTGTAGCTTGTATTTACTTAGTTAGCAGCATCTCAGCACAACACACATTCTTGCTTTTTTTTTAAAGTAATACTTCAGGTGGAAAAACAAGAGTACAGGGACTTTTTATACTGTTATCGGTTGGCCTCTTCCCTGTGACCAGTTTGTTAAATGTCCTTCCAGACTGTATCTGTACATATATGTAAATTATGGGTTTTAAAAACCACATGCGTCGGCATACTGTTCATGTATTCCTTAACATTCTATCTTGAACATCGTTCCATGTTGGCATATCAGTGCTTCTCAAAGAGGAGGGCCTTTAGGCGGGAGAAGTCCTAGTTGTGTCGACTGCCCTGTGCATTGTGAGATCCTTGCCCTCCCTCTTGGGACCCACTGAATTCCAGTTGTGTCTCCCAGACATTGCACACCAATGTGCCCCGTGGCTTTTCCAAAAGACCAGCTCCCTCGGCAGAAGCTCTTTTTACTGAGTGATACGTACACTTGTTGCCTCTACGTGGTATCTTCTCTCAGTGCAATATGCCCTCTCAGTGATTCTTTTCTCTAACTGGGCCTGTAACCCCTCCACCTCCCCCTGCCCCTACCTATTTTTGGATCAGGAAGGTTCTCCAGTGGGAAGGCTTTTGTGGAAAGAAGTTGGACTGGAAGGCGTCGACAAGTCATTGCATCTTGACTGGGATTTACTGTGGTGGCTCCATAGCTCAGGCCGACTAGAGTTATGGAAAGACTAGAGTTGTAGCTACAAACTCCACGTGAATGTGGAAGGCCATGATGTGCTGATTGAATTTTATACATCATTGAGGTTTTTCTTAGTAATGTCTGTAATTCAGAGCATTTAAAGTAAATTCCCAACTTAGATAGCTCTATCTTATTCATCTTTAGCTGGCTCTTCCCATTTACAGTATGGGTTGCTTTTTCTCCGTTCTTTAAGGAAGAACTTCAAATATCACTTTTAAAACTGAATAATGACTATGAAGAAATTACAAGTACAGTTACAAGAAACAAGAGTTTGGATTCAGAGCTAAATGATTTAAGACATAATTTGGAGGCGAAGGAACAAGAACTCAACCAGAGTCTTACTGAGAAGGAAATCCTGATGGCTGAATTAGAGGAATTGGACAAACAGAACCAGGAAGCTACAAAGGTAATGGGTGCTCCAGCAAAGACGATAGGATAGCTCTGAATGCCGGGTTAACTGGCAAAAATGATGGGTGTGATCTAATTCTGACTTGGGTTCATTGGTGCTCTGGACACAGAGATTGGGGAACAACGTCTTTAAAGAGCTAGAGAGTAAATATTTCAGGCTTTGTAGGCCATATTTCAATTGCACCTTTTTGACTACTGTATAGTGAAAAGAACTGAAGATGATGTGTAGGCAAATGAGCATGACTAAATTCCTATAAAACTTCACTTACAGAATACATGCTATGCCTGATTTGGCCCAGAGTTGTGGCTTGCTGACCCAACTTCAATTTTAGACCAGACAATAATCGATGGGTATATGTTGCTTACCTTCACTGGTGTGTCTAATATGATAAAATGGACTTGCTGAAAGATGTTAATAGAGGAGTAACAGGCATCAAGACAAAAAAAGTGAATCATTTTAAGAACTAGAACTATCTCAGGACCATTATTTTATTATGCGTGCCATTTTATAAAGTTTTCTGCCATGCAAGTTAATTTATCTTTTTTTTAAATTCATTTTTCTCAGCACATGATTTTGATGAAAGATCAACTCTCCAAACAGCAAAATGAGGGGGATCACATGATCAGTAAACTAAAGCAAGATATAGATGCTGCAAAAGAGAAGGTTCATCGCCTTGAAGATGATAAAGTGCACATCACAAAAGAGTTAAACCTGCAAAAAGAGAAGTGCACTAAAAGTGAGCTGGCCCTGCATGATTTACATGGAGCCAAACAGAAGCTTCAGGATCAAGTTGAAGATCTGGTAGATCAACTCAGTAAGCTGCAAAGAGATCATTTCAACACCCAGGAGGAGAACGCAGAACTTAGGGAACAGATAGGACTGAATGAGAAGGAGCTTTCTAGAGTGAGAAGTGAGTTAACTCAGCCCCATGGTCAGGACTCGGACAGCGACGTTAAGGATGATGTAGCCAAAGAAAGGGAAGCTGAAGTTAGACACCTAAAGCAACATCTTTCAGAAGTGGAGCAGATCAATGAACATTTAGAGAAAGCTGCTTTTGATCTCAAGATGGAAAATGAAAAGTTGGTTGTGGCGTGTGAAGATGTCAGACACCAGTTGGAGGAATCTCTTGCCGGAAAGAGTCAGGTTTCTCTGGAGAAAGACAGTATTGTTGAGGCTCTAAGGGCGGAAAAACGACAGTTAGAAGCAGAGCTGTGTCAGGCTAAAGAGAGGTTGTTGGAACAAGCAGGCAGGTATGAGCGAGCCATGGAGGTGTCAGCCGCTCATGACCAGGACAGTGCCGTGCTCCGGCGGGATCAGGAGCACTTACTCCAACGCAGCCGGGAGAAAGACGCCGAGGTTGCGGAACTGAAAAGGAGCATGGAAGAGCTGAATGCGAAGCATCAGGAAACGCGGGCCCTCCTGGCATCTAGTGCACAAGAACGGCAGCAGCTGACCCAGCTTGTAAAGGAGAAAGCCCTGTTGATCGAGACGCTTGAGGGAAGAGGTTCGGCACTTCAGGGGGAATTAGATAAGTATGCTCAGGCCTTAAGGAAGAGCGAGAGCTCAAGACAGGCCATGGAGGAAAGAGACAGAAGCCTGGCCTCCATGAAGGAAGAGAACAATCACCTGCAGGAAGAACTGGAGCGGCTCCGGGAGCAGCAGAGCCGAGCCACCCCCGTGGCCGAGCAGAGGACACTGGATGCGCTCGCCGAGCTGGAGTCGGAGGTGTCCCGGCTAAATGTCCTCAAGGACAGCCTGGAGGGGGAAATAAAACACTATCAAAAGATGGTCGACGATCACACCCAGAGTGAGATACGGCTACTTCAGTCTTTACAAGAGCAGAAGAAGGAAATGGACGAGTTTAAGTCCCAGCACGAGCACATGAGCGTCGCCCACACGCAGCTCTTCAGAGAGAAGGAGGAGGAGATCCGGGCCTTGCACAAGACAATTGAGCAGATCAAAAGTCGGCTGCACGGAGACAGGCAGGACCCTGGGACAGAGAACGCGGACATTTTCCATGAAACCAAAGTCCAGACCCTCCATCTGGAAAACGGGAGTGAAAAGCACGACTTGTCTAAGGCTGAGACTGAAAGATTAGTGAAAGGCCTCAAAGAGCGGGAGCTGGAGATACAACTTCTAAATGAAAAGAACGTCTCACTGACCAGGCAGATTGACCAGCTGTCCAAAGACGAGGTGGGGAGACTGACCCAGATTATCCAGCAGAAAGATTCCGAGATACAGGCTCTCCACACTAGGATGGCCTCGGCTGCCTGCACGCAGGATGCCCTGTACCTTCAGCAGCAGCTGCAGGCCTGCGCAATGGAGCGAGAACAGATGGTAGCCGTGCTGAATGAGAAGACCAGGGAAAACAGCCGTCTGAAAACAGAGTACCACAGACTGATGGACATCGTGGCGGCCAAAGAAGCAGCTCTCGTTAACCTGCAAGGCGAGAACCAGAAACTGTCCATCCGACTGGAAAGCAGCAGCAGCCAGGAGATGTTCAAAGAAACGGTTCAGAATCTCTCGCGGATCATTCGCGAGAAAGACATCGAAATAGACGCGCTCAGTCAGAAGTGCCAGACGCTGCTGACAGTTCTGCAGACGTCCAGCGCCGACGACGCGCTCGGCAGTGTCAACAGCAACCAGTTTGAGGAGCTCCTGCAGGAGCGCGATAAACTGAAGCAGCAGGTGAAGAAGATGGAGGAGTGGAAGCAGCAGGTGATGACCACGGTGCAAAACATGCAGCACGAATCGGCCCAGCTCCAGGAGGAACTCCACAAACTCCAGGCACAGGTGTCGGTGGACAGTGACCATAACTCCAAGCTGCAGGTAGACTACGCTGGCCTGATCCAAAGTTACGAGCAGAGCGAAACCAAGCTCCGAAATTTCGGTCAGGAGTTGGCCCAGGTTCAGCACAGCATCGGGCAGCTCTGCAGCACCAAAGACCTTCTCTTAGGAAAACTAGACGTCATCTCGCCCCAGCTCACCGCCGCCGGGCCTTCCGCGGCTCCCCAGCTAGCAGATCTTCCGAGGGCACGCAAGCCCGAGCAGCCGAGCGAGCCTTCTCAGTTGCTCCACCGAGAGCTGGAAGAGCTAAGGAAATTGCTGCAGGAGAAGGATGCCACCATTCGGACGCTGCAGGAAAACAACCACAGGCTGTCGGATTCCATGGCGGCCACCTCTGAGCTGGGGCGCCTTGAACAGGAGCAGACAGGCTCGGAGATGAAGCAGATCAAGGAGAAGCAAGATGTCCTGCAGAAGCTGCTGAAGGAGAAAGACCTCTTAATCAAGGCCCAGAGCGACCAGTTACTCTCGCTAAAGGAGAACTTCGCGAGCAAGGCCAGCGAGAACGAAGTGCTGCGGCAGGCGGTCACCAACCTGAAGGAGAGAATGCTAATCTTAGAAATGGACCTCCGGAAGCTGAAGGAGGAGAACGACCGTGTGGCCGAGGCGGCCCGAGGAAAGGAGACGGAATACCAGGCACTGCAGGAGACCAACACGAAGTTTTCCATGATGCTGCGGGAAAAGGAATTCGAGAGCCACACGATGAAGGAGAAGGCACTGGCTTTGGAACAGCTGCTGAAAGAAAAAGAGCAGGTAGGTCCTGGCTGCATCTGGGCGGTGGCCGGAGCAGGGGAGGAGGAGCTGTTGTTTACCTGCGCCAGTGGAACGTATGCACGTGGATGTGTTTGTTCTGCGGTATTCCGATTCTCTTCTAAGTCACATTTCCTCAGGAATCGGAGTTTGCACTCAGCGGCATGAGAGGAGGATGTGCAGTGTGACACGTCCATTCCCACATCACCATTCCCACCACATCCAGTAGGTTTCAGCTCACAGCCACCGTATGCACGATGGAACGAAACGCCACCCGTCCTGCACACTCCTCACAGAGGTTCTTCTGTGGGAGCCCGGGGTTGCAGCCATGGGAGTCGATCCACCTCACTGAGGGCTTCCCTCTTTCTCACTCCTCCTCCACTTCACCGAGCACAATGTCCTTTCCTAGGGACTGGTCTCTCCTGACCACACGTTCAAAGAACGTGAAACAAAGTCTCACCAAGGAGCCCTCTGGCCGTATTTCTTCCAAGTCAGACCGGTTTGCTCCTTTGGCCGTCTGGGGTACTCTCGATATTCCTTGTCAGCCCCATCATCCCAGGGCATCGATTCTGCCTCCAATTTTTATACTAGGCTAACATTTTACAGCCTGTTAAATGGAAAAGAGGATTTAGTAGTGGTTTTTTCTTAAAAAAAAAAAAAAAAAAAGGAATGGGTTATAAGACAATGCAATTCAATCAGATTTTAGATACATTTCAGTAGCTGGTGGCCACAGCGAGTATGGCAGTGAGGCGCGTGTCAAGGAAAGCACTGTGGCCTGAACTTCTTTGCCTGCGATATGCAGTCAGCAATATATTGTCCATTGTGATCCTCAAGCAGGCGTGTGTGTGTGTGTGTGTGTGTGTGTGTGTGAGAGAGAGAGAGCGAGAGAAACAAGTTTCAGGAACCAGAGATCACCCTTATTACATGTGGTACTCTATTCCATAAACAGGAGGGAATAAAGATAAAAGGAAAAGTCATCAAGAGTCACCAATTTGAAGTCAACATGGACGTTGCCATGTGTTGCCACGAGTCATGCTTTTTTCGTGGTTGTTGGGCACTTGTGCCCGCGTGGCAGAGTAGAACTGCCTTATAGGACTTGCTTGGTGCTTATCTACTGCCATTGAGTTGTGACTCATTGCCACCAGAGATAAGGTCTCTGAGACTGTGAATCTGTGTGGGAGTCTGATTGCCTCCTCTTTTCTCTTGCAGAAAGACTGGTAGTTTTGAATGACCAGCTGTGCTGTTAGCAGTTCCACACTTAGCCCACAGCACCACTAGGACGCCTAGCGGCGTAGTGGGGTGTGCCCTGGGCAGCTAAACACAAGGCCAGCACTTTGAGCCTACAAACCACTCCGTGGGAGAAAAGTGAGGCCTGCCCCATAAAGAAACCCACGAAGCGGTTCTGTTCCGTTTGTAGGAATCTGTTCCCGTGTAGAATTAACTGGATGGCCATGGGTTTGGCGTTCAGTTTGTCTTTCCGGAAGCAGATCCCTGGCTAGGTTTGAACCGCCA